TGAGCCCAATAGAGATTGCCCTGAAAAATGCGAAAATGTGGTTGCATTCGATTCATTGTCCGGGTAGTATTCATTGTATAGAAATCGTATTGACCGGGCCAGCCCGAACATCGCGAAGTTGGTCGAACGAATGCCTCCTCATCCGGAAGCTGACCGAGCAGACCCGAGCAGCAGTCGAGAGGAGCCGAGCGCATCCGCGAAGCACACAAAATGGCGACGTCCATGAAGAAAGACTGGTTTACCGACTTTTGGCAACTTTTTCATCGACCTGCTGGTTGCCCGATCGGGCAACCAGCAGGTGAGGCTTCATTGCCCGAGCTAAATACTAGATTGCCTCGGGCAGTCGTTAATGTCGAGCCCTGGTAAGTTGACATGAGTTTTGTTTTTAATTGTGTGTGTGTGTGTGTGTGGTTGTGTAGAATCAAACAGACGCTCGGCGAGTGATGCAGGGCGGAGCCCCTCCTCGGAACTGTTCCCAGGCCTTTTCAAAGGACGGAGATCAGGTCTTCAATAACCGCAGTTACTCTGCTGAGCAGACCAGAGCCAACTACCTCTCTGGAGATGTAGAGGAGGAGATCAGGTGTGTGTGTGTAGTGAGACAGAATGTACCTGATGAGTCCAGCTGTAGATATATTTGGTCCCATGGGGCTTGTTGTATTTAGAAAGCCAGAGTAGATGATGGATTTCTTTATCTACAACTATTGTGATATACACACTGTGAGTAGTTGTGTTTAACTTCTGCCTTAACACCTTCTTTGTCTCTTGGATCCTCTCTTCTCTCTCAGGCACTTGCAGAAGGAGTTGGAGAACCAGAAAGCTCAGGCAACACGTTTCCAGCAGCAGATGAGGAAGTTGGATGACGACGTCAAACAGAACGATGGGCTGCTGAGAAGGGCTCAAGTGGAGGAGAGGACTATCAAAGTAAGTATTTGTGCGTGTGTATATAAATAATAAAAACACTTCTAAATCAAATCAGTAGCATTCCCAATGTTTGAATGAATCTCTGTATTTTCTTCAGAACAAGGCTGCAAAGATCCAGCTGGAGCTGTCGGAGCTACAGAATGTGGAAGAGCCTCAGTCAGAGGACCTCAATCCCCTGGTTTGTACAGACACAATGCAGTACAATAATCCGATTAGCTTACGTCGTACTCCATCTCAGTTGATAAACAAAGCAAAGACCATATGGAATTATGACTGAGAATGGGTATTCAAGTCATAATTCGGTCATCACTTTTGGCACACTTTCACAGGAAGAAGAGCTTCAAGAGATCGTATCTAAGATCTCGTCAAAGCGTGCAGAGTACGACGAGGCACAGGCTCAGATGGCTGATTGCAAGGCGGCCTATGAGAAGGCAGAGCAGGAGTACAAGCAGCACAAAGAGCAGATCTTCACGGCCGCAGAGGATGCCGAGCATGTCAAGGTAATACTTAAGACCAAGATCGGGTGACAAAGATAAACAAGTGATCGGAATCCTTCAACCTTAACTTGTGGAATGCCCAAATCATGTCAAACTTGTGAAACGTGTGTATTAAGTCAAAAGTGTCCTTGTATTATTACTCAATTCAAATGAGGTTTTATCGTAACACCATCCTTGTGTACTGGGTGAATCTCATGCGTTCTTCTTTCTGTGCTCTTCCCTTGGTCCCTTTTACAGGAGGAGCTGAGTAAGACCGATCAGGACGTGGGCAAGTGCAAGCATCACAAGAAACACTACGACGAGAAACGCACTGTACATCTCCGCAGCATACAGGCGCTCGAAGGCAACCTAGAGAGCAAGGAGCAGGAACTACAGGTACACTAGACTGAGACACAAAGAGCAACTTGAGACAGAGGCAGACATTTAAATACGATTTTTAACAAAATGTAATGGTTTTTTTTGTCGGTTTTCAGTAGACATTATAGAGTGGGTCCAGGAATTAGATCAGATAAATATGTCTCCATCTTAAGCACACTTGGCTTATCAAAACTGTGGAAAGCATTTGCAATTCTCAGACAAAATCAAAATACTTTTTAATTTAAATTCTGACGGGTTCATCTGTTTTACACTTTGTTTTTTAATGCAATGTTGAATAGCTATGCATTTCTGAATCTTATAGATTTTGTTCCTTCTAGTATCTTCTGCATTGAATCTCAGAACAATATTTTGTTGTTCACCCTGTGATTTCAGACATCTGTGGCCAAAGCCACCAAAATCTCTGCGGAGCGAGTGGAGGTACGAAGGACAGCCAAGAGTCTGGACAACGAGATCAGCCGTCTCAAAGTGAAGATCAGCACCCAGCAGGAGCAGCAGGGGAACCGTGACGAGGTAGTGAGGTATGTGAAGAACACTCTGATCATTCAAATGCAATGATGTAGTGTCATGCCACTTTATTACTTTAACACGACTGGCTGTTGTCTTGTCTTGCATTAAATCAAATCAATTCAATCTCTGTTGATTTCTTCCGCTTGTCTTTCTCTCCAATCACTAGGCAGTATCATGAGGCTCTGCAGAACTACAAGAACATGGCACTGCAAATGAAAAACCTAAACGGCTTCATCAAATGTCTCGATAGTGTCATGAAACAGAGACTCCAGGTGTACTCTGAGCTCAGGAGGTCAGTTGGAAACAAATCGTGTCCAGGAAAAAGAATGTTACGCTTAACTTAAAAGCGTATACATTTATTTCATGTTTCTCTTCACCCTCACTGTTTCTTGGTTCCTAGATTTATTATCATGCTGCCATCTTTCCTTCTTTGTCCATTTGCTCAAGTTTTTCCTCTGCGTCCTCTAGGTTCCTCTCGGCCCGTTGTAAATATTACTTTAACAGCACACTGGCCCAGAGAGGCTACACTGGAAGTATGACCTTTAATCACAAGAGTGAAACCCTCTCCATCTCAGTAAGTTCATCACTCGGTTCACATTAGAGCAACTAAACAATATAGCAGCATGGCTAAAGTCTAAATGAGACCACATTGATCTTTTTATTTGATTGTCAAAAACATGGGACATTACTGCTACAGTTTTTAAACCATGTGATGTCAAATGGGGTGTCCAAAATACGGCCCGGGGGCCAAATGCGGCCCGCAGGCCATTTTGAATCGGCCCTCAGCCAATTCAAAAGTATAATGGAATATGGCCCACAAATGAAACTTGAGCGTGTCTTGTACTTCCTAAATATATCTGTAAACATATATTACACAGTAGTGTTCATGTGTTAATAAGCCCACTTTCAGTCAATTAAAGTTGAAAATATGATCTAAGTTGATAAAAAAAAAAAAAAAAAAAAACCCAATAACTTATTTACATAACAACCTTGAAATATACCCTTCCTATTTCCTCTTATGATCAGCAATCTGAGGCTCCTGTTTTAAGGAATGAGCTGCTAACAAAATAAATGAAACCCTATGGAAAGCTGTGATGTAGGCTGTTGTATCAAGCACGATCTTCTTACATTTGATTGATTTAGCTAACTTATCACTTCACTTATGAGGCAATAAACCTCACCTCTAGTGAGTGGCCCAGCCCTTCGAATTATTTTTCTGTATGTGGCCCTCGGTGAAAAAAAGTTTGGCTTAGGTCAAATGTTTTTGTTTGGCTTCTTTCCTCGGTAGGTGCAGCCAGGCCAGGGAAGCAGTGTGGAGTTGAGTGACATGCGCTCTCTGTCCGGAGGCGAGCGCTCCTTCTCCACCGTGTGCTTTGTGCTCTCCCTTTGGGCCATCACAGAGGCGCCTTTCCGCTGTCTTGACGAGTTTGATGTTTTCATGGTAATACGAAACCTATTTTGTTGATATTGCAAGTTTCTCTAGATAAGGTTGCACCGTGTCTAAATGGCATCTTAAAAAATAATAGCATGGAATGACTATTTTAGGAAGGAGTTTGGAGAAAGTTCCTATGCAAGGTCTTGGCATTACATGAAATGGTCTCTATAGCCTTATTTATCAAAAGATAAGAGTCTTGGTTTTCTTTAGGACATGGTGAACAGGAGGATCTCAATGGACATGATGCTAAAGGTGGCTTCCGGTCAGCGCTACAGACAGTTCATCTTCCTCACACCACAGAGCATGAGGTATTCACTGATTACATGTTTATATATTTGTATATCAAAGCAGTAGGACCACCCAAATGTGATTTATTGACTTGGTTACTGTTTATATATTCTTAATAAATGAGCTTTGATTGAGTAAATCCGTTCAGGAGTAAAGGTCATGTGATTTCAGTATGCTGCCTAGTTTCTCTGGGAAAGAGCACCAGACACTTTATCTCCAAGTCACGGTCACATTGTCATGTTTGTTTTTTTTGTTTCAGCTCTCTTCCACAGAGCAAAAATATCCGCATCCTCCGTCTCAAAGACCCAGATCGTGGCATAAATGAACAAAGCAGTCAAGACGACGAGTAGTAGTTCTGTATACCTAGCAATGTTAAATGTTTTGTAACACTGAACCGGTTACATTATGTTGTAAGTTCTGTTGTATTGAGGGGGAAGGATGGGAAGTTTGTTTATACCTTGCCAAAATATTTGTTATTATAACTGGCACATCTCTAAGCTAATGAGTAGTAGTTCTGTATACTAAGCAATGTTAAATGTTTTGTAACACTGAACCGGGTATATAATGTTTTAAGTTCTGTTGTATAGAGGGGGAAGGATGGGACATTTTGTTATAACTGGCACATTTCTAAGCTAATGTTGTGTTATCTAAATGAAAGCAAACAAGTTAGGAAAAATACAGTGTTGGTGTTTTTTATGCATATGTCAGGACCATTTCTGTACTTGTCTCGCTAAGTAGAAGTCATAATTCAAGTTCATCTCACAGTACACACATAATCCTGCTGTCCTCTTCAGCCCATTCTCTGGATAAAAGTCAGTGTGATTTGAATCTGCTTTAAAACATGAAACGCTTTTGGGGTCAGTCTTTTGAGGAGGAATGCTTTGCACCTTTAAGAGCTCTGTGCCAAATCCTCCACACAAGGCGGTCCATTGGAATGCACTTCCACTCATGCACATAACATCTGCTGACAACATATCTGACCTCCTGAGGCAAGTGGTACTTTTTATGACATCCCTGAGCACTGCGATAAGCGGACAACATGAAGGCCATATCTGTTCCATTGAGGTTGTTTGATAGAAATTCAGCCTCAGGAGACACTCTCAATGTTCAAGCAGCAAAATATCAGCGACATATGGATCACCAGGAGAGCCCGGATCACTCTGGACACAACGACAGCCGAACAGTGGGCGACAACAGACAAAATGAGAAGAGCCATCGAGGAGTTCATTTTGCATTTCTGCCAGAGACGTACGAGCTGCTGGTAGATGAGGAGCAAGACGAGGCAAAAGAAGAGAAGAAGAAAAGGAAGAAAGAAAAGTACAAAAAAGTCAGGAAGGTTGGTGTTCTGTTAATGTACTGAAAACTGTTGGTACTAAAGGCAAATTACACATTTAAGTTGACTGTGTTCCGGATATCTGATCTTCTCATGAAGATGAACTGCAACCGCCTGCTGATGGGTGTGTGTGTCTTGTTCTGCTTTGTTGGAAAGATTTGGCAAAGCGTAATGAAAATCTTGATCCGATAGAAAGTTGCAGTTAACCTATTTTTTATCTTTTGTCTGATTATTGCGATACTTTAAAAATAAATCTAGTACCTCTAAATTGTGGATTTGTTAAAACTACAACATGTTTATCCAAGGCAAATGTGAACACTATTGGGCAAAATCAGCCTCAATCCAAATGATTGAACAGATTAATTGGAATTAAAAAAATATATATGTTTTTTGTTTAAATAAACAAAATATAATATATGTATAAAAGATCAAAAATCTTTAACTAGAGGGTACTGTCACATTGACACTACAATACAAAAGTACAATATACTTTAAGTTCAAGTACTATGTAACATGTTGTCTATGTTTAGGGAACATTAAGTAATACAATGCATGTCTTATTTGAAGATTGATCTGATCTACAGTAACTGAATATTCATCTGAATTTAAGTCAAGATAGTAACTGCTTTTACACTAAAATCACATTTAATATACAGGTTACAGTTTGGATTGCTTTATGTGTACCAGTTTTGATAATAAGTTCAGCCAAGGAGGAAGGAAGTACAATTATTTGTACTTTAGTTTACTAAAACAGCTGACTTCCTGTATCCGGTCGGCCTTTTCCTGATCAGAGCTCAGGAGACAATAGTGTTCACAGGGCTTTTTGTTTACATTTCAGGGTTAAATACAGACTGCAGCTCTCCTCATGTCGCTATTGTTCTGACCACACCACATGTGTTCTCCAGCTTCTGACTGATTACAGGTCTTTTTATTCCCAAATTCTGTCAAAACCACTGATAGGGCTTTGTAACACAAAGTATCATTACAAATAAGTATATTTGTCATTGTATGACAAGTGTTTGGAAATTAAGTATGAGTCCTATTTTAATACAAAAGACGGAATAATAATCTAAACAATTACGTCATTGAAATAATTCTGACATGGTTGTGTAGTTTTATTTATCTTTGAACCCTCATTTGAATGAAGGCACAGGTTACTTTAAATCTACAGAATAATGATTAATCGTTGGCTGTATGTTTGTCTTTCAGAATGTTGGCAAGGCTCTGCGCTCCACCTGGAAGTGTCTAATGCTCGGTCTGTACAATTTTGCCCTGGGCTACTCTACTCCGATCACAGTGGCTGCTACTTTTGTCCCTGATTTCCACCACGGCAGGAACAAGCCCTGAGCTAGTGATACCTCCTCCTTTTTCTAGCTGTACATACCAGTGAACCAACGGACACAAGACTTTTCATATGTGTATAATATTTGTGTATGAGAATGTATTTTGTTACTAAACATTTTAATTACAATAAGCTTGTTTGCTGTAGGAACTGAAAAAAACACTTTTGTAAGACAGACCTTTTTTTTACCACATTGGAAAAAAACAGGTGTTTTAATAAGACTCAGTGCACTAATCAACTGTCATGTATTTCTTTATTTACACCTGTACATGTGTGACATGTTGGTGTTAACAATCCTAATGTCCTACTGTTGGTCATAATATGGCACACTAAGCTTTGCAAAATGTGCACATGATAGTGTATTTAGTTAAATTGTCAGAAACAATTGCTCTGTGTATAGATATAATGCTTTATGTAGTGCCTAAGTTACATATTTCTCATGCATGTATTGACTGCCTTTTTCAACTTTTTTTTAATTTGATATCAAGCATCAAGCTGGTGTTGGCAGCTGTGCAGAGGGATAATGTGGGAGATACCCTTACAGGAATGTGATCATCACTTTCTGAAAAGACATGTTAAGTTGATCAGAATGTATTTGTGAGACTATTGAAGGTAGTCATTGTCATCTGAACATTTCAGAGTAACTGTATGTGTGCGAGTCTGATTAAGGTTTTGCAAGTCTTGATATTTGTAAGTTGAAGTTTGATAAAATGTTAATAAACTGTAAGACAAACTTAATTATTTGTGGTTGACAAGGAAGTGTGAACAAGCAATAAAGCCTCAATACATCACATTTGAAGTAAGGAACTACATATTTTGAGAACCTCACCAAATATGAAATGATAAAAGCTAATGTACAGAAAACAGTTTAGTGAATCAGAGGAAAGGGAGACTTCAGAAGGGAAGATATCCAACCCTAACAAATGGTGAAATTACTCATCTCAAATGAAGAAAACATTTGAGATGCTTACACAAACATGTGTTGAAGATTATAGTTCAGATAACATTTGTAGGGAGGGGCGATGATAAGGATGAGGATTATGATAAAACAAAATGAAGATATCACAGTAGGCTATGTCATTTACAAAGCAAGAACGTAATATTGCCTTTAGGAAAAAAAAGATGAAAAAAGATGTTAGGTGATCATAAATCATTTTAGTGAGACATCTAAAGACTTCTTACTTGAAGCCTATAATAAAGTATGAAAGAAGGGAAAGTTGGCTGTAGGAGGCTAGTACCTAGCATTCCCGGAAGCAAGGAAAATATTTCACTTTTTTTGAATTATTGACCAATTGTTTGGACCTTCCATATCTGTACATTAATGGGAAATTAATAAATTGTTAACTCTTATTGAAATAATATTATAGTTTTGTGTTCTTGTTTATCTTATATTTAATATGTTGTTATGATTGTAATCAAATACCAGCAGCTCCACCCCACTAGGTGGCGGTAATGTCTCGTTTTGGTTGTTCACCCAAGAAGAAGAAGAAATGCTCTCTCTTCCGTAGTCTTGGCTTGTTTACATGAGCCTCGTCTGAACAGGGTTTTTTGAGGATGACGGACCAAAAGGCAGATAATATCAGCTCTATCCCAATCGATGAGTTCAGCAAGTTAAGAATAACATCGATATGGACGTTTCTCATGTCTGTAAGTTACATTGTATTGTCTGACTCGAGATGCCAGTCAGTGCCAGCTAGCTACGAGTTAGCTATCCCGGCAAATTGATAGATCCCCTTTAATTAACAAACGATACCATTTTGGAGCATTTGTATGTGAGTTGAAGTGACAGCTGCCTAATGTTTGCTTTGTTTTACTGTGTGTAGGTGCAGTGGTCGGAGCCCTGGCTGATGGGGCTGATGGTGTTTCATGTTGTGTGTTTGTCTCTGACCGTGGTGACGTGCAGGTACTACAGAGCTCAGATATGTCACTTCCTGCTCATGGGTAAGTGAATCAGAACCATACAACAATTAGCCTTACTGTTGATAAGTAAAGTAAAAGTGCATAACAAATCCTACCTGTTCCCATACATCTAAATACGTTTATGGTGCAAGACTGACTTACTAAAATGTACTCATAGCTTAGTTTTAAACCATCTAACATTAACTACAATGCTACCTCTTGATACTGTTTCCTGGGAAAATTTTGCAAAATTCAACAATCATTCAAGGTGTGAACTTTCCACCGCAATGTAAGGGAAATAATGGGCATACAATTGAAACATGTCTGCGGCTGCTTTTACCATGTTATATGTAAATAAGCTAGCAAGTTAATAAGGAAAGGTACTTGTGCTGTCTGAAAACTTCGGGTTTAAAGTGTAAAACTAAATTTAATATACAAAATGCAATAAAGAAGTGACTCAAACTTCTTAAATTAATTACAATAACACATCAATTAGCATGCTCAATCAAGCTTAAGCCTACATGCTAGCAAGCAGAAACTAGCTAAATATGTTAATGAGGTTAATTTTGTAATCAAAACTTACATTCAGCATGTAAGGCATTCTTCCAAAAATGAGTTAATTTTTAAAAGATAAGATTTTTAAATGGTAATGGGTAAACATTTTCCAAACATCTGAACTGAACTGAACTGAACAGCAACCATACAATTACTAATATATCAGGGCTTACAGCTAACACTAACATACAGTAACAATCATACTGTATCATTCAAATATAGAGTTAGGACAACTCCTTATTGATGTGTGTGTTACCATCTAAGGCTAAATAAGATATTTTTGATTTCTCAAAACCAGATGACTATATCAGTTAATATTGTATAGCTAATTTAGATTTTTTTCAACAACAGCTTTTATTAGTCTGTGTGTTTTATTGTACTGTATGCTGACTGACTACCTGTCTTTTACAGTTGGCCTGGTGTATAGTGCTGAATATCTCAATGAGCTGGCAGCCATGAACTGGAGGTAAAGCCTTTTTTTTTGCAGTATTTTTGTTACTATTGGGTGAGAAATTATGTGTATTGAGGTCATGCTTTTTGGTTATTAAGGAATCTCATTATATGTTATTGTTCTTTCAGGTCCTTCTCTAGCTTCCAGTACTTTGATTCGAAGGGCATGTTCATATCTTTGGTCTACTCTATTCCTATTCTGCTGAATACAATCATCATCGTGGTAAGCTTCATTGTTTATCATTATATTTGACGCAGCATATACAGTTCTAAAATCCCCACTTGACCCCTGAATGTTTGTGTTGTGCATTGACAGATGGTGTGGGTGTACAGGACCTTTTCCACTATGACTGAGCTGAAGACCCTCCAGCTCAAGCGACAGGCCCGCAGACAGAAAAGAGAGAAGAACGACTGATCCATTTTCTTCTGTCCAAACATGGACTTCATTGCAAGGAATTAGGGATACTTTTCTCTGCCATGCTAATCCGGAACTTTGGAACAGAAAGGCAGATACTTTCTTGTGTCCGTAAAAAGGATTCTTCATTGGTAACGGTTTCTGGACTGGGTGTCTTTTTCTGGTAACGGCTGTTGAAAGATGCCGCTGAATGTACTTTACACTATGAGATATATGAGGACCAATAGACATTTACTGTTTTATATTTAATGTTGTTTTAAAGTGTGTTGACCCGCACAAAGAGAGATAAAAGATTTTTGAACAACTCTGATGTGACTGTTGATTTATTTTTCAGAGAAAAACGCTTTAGTTTAATTTAACCCCCAAGATATCCCCCTATCCTAAGAGAAAAATCAACTAAACTGCTATTAAAATTATGTATTTTAATATTATTTTTAAATGTCTCAAAATTAACATCAGTCCTGATCATAACTACCGAACATGAATTCATTTTCAAATTCTAACACAAACGTTCCATTGTTTTGTTTTTTTAATACTATATGCTACGTTTTTTCCTTTTTACAGTCTTGGATATGTCAATTATTAGCAAAAACGATTTTGAACATAGAAAGTGCAGTGTGTTTCAATAGGGACAATATCGTCCTTACGGGTCAATAATGTATGTCTGTATTTTGGCCTCAACGTTCAATTATAGACTCATAAAACCTGAAGTTGAACACCCAAAATCCATAAAAAAACATATCACACCCTTGCCAAAAATGCCAGCTACAGTATATGCATTAACACAACACAAATGAAACCTTTAAACATGATATAACTCAAATTAAAGGTGTAATCATGCCGTCATCCTCATTTGTGTGAAGTGGATGGTTAATAGTAATCTGTGACTGATCATTAACAATCCATTGACTTAGACTAGTAGAGCTCATATCAAAAACATTACACTGATATTGAGTTTTTACTCTTTATGTATATTTATATATATCTCCAAGCTCATCAACAAGACAAATACTTTTTACTTTCTTAACTAGTTTAACTGGCTTTATGTCCCAGACAGGTTTTAAACATTCTTGACAGCTTTTACACAGGGGGAGTTGGGAGGGGGGAAGTAAGGTCTTATGACCCGGCACAGTCCTCCACGTGAGAGGGGGGGGGGCTGTTTCATGATACTGGGCCAACCTCTTTCTGCAAAACAATGGACCTTTCTCACAGCAGAGTTCTCGTGTAAACAGCACAACAGTCAGTAAAGCACCGGTGTTAGTAATCACATTAACGATGGCTCTGTTTCATTGAAGCCATGACAGTGTGACAGCATCCAGGACACTAGCAGCCTGAAGCTGATCAGTTTTATTATTTACACCTGTGCGTTTCCTATGGTGGCATGTCATAGTTCCTGCTAGTAAAAAAGACTTTAGATCAACAAATGTCACTGCAGGAACATTAAAAGTCTCCATTGTCATTGGGAAGGCTTATCACACATGTTTTATTATCAAAAATCATTGATTTATAACATATTTTGAATATGTTTTCACTAATAGATCAGAGTGATTAGAAATATAGACAGACAAAGGCATTAAAGATATTTTATTTTGCGGCAATTTTAAAGTGTAATTTTATGTTGCCAAATCTAGACCTCTTGATTTAAATACATGTTATTGCACCACTAGAGGGCAGTATGGATTTAACGACCTAAACTTGTTTTGCCTCTGCAGAGAGCTGATAGGATATCTCTCTTTAAGCTAACAGTTGTTTTTATTTTATTCATATCACTCCTTTTTACTTTGCCAGATGCATCTCATACACAGTGTGTCATTAAATCATGGTTGCATTCAGCCGTCAGGATATATTAGATATGTAGATGATTAATTGAATTGCTGTCATCGTGGTGTTTATCTGAGAGTGAATGGGGAGGAAGAGAAAAGGGTGTGTTGTATTTGTCCAGGTGTGTGTGTGTGTGTGTGTGTGTGTGTTAGTGTTAGTCCTTAACATCTATCACGGTGTATATCACCATTCAAACATCTTTTAAAAGTTGAACAAACCCCACACAGCTTAGTAAAGACTGTGAAATGTTGACTTTATTTGATCTTTTCAGTAAAAACTAACGTTCATATTTCTCTTTTTGATTATAATACTGATGAACGTTCAAAACAAAGCACTTTGGCAACTTACCACATACGTTTTAAAATGCTTAATAAGCACCGTAACTTTCATGATATCATTTCTCGTTCATAATCGGTTGTTTCCGTGAACGGCCGACTGTTGTGTGACGGCAAATGCCGCGGCCGCAAGGCATTGTGGGGCAGCATTTTCTCCTCTCCTTTCGGTTAGGGAGGTCCAGTGGTTCCTAAGCTAAAGGAGGTTATAAAGGAAGTTTGAAACCTCCTTTCCTTTCATTTAGAGAATTCGAACGGCACTTAATTATCATGGCTGCCACTGAGGGACTTCCGGGTCATTTCACTCCGTTAGGAAGGTTCCCACTTTATTGATGCAACCAACTCAACTTCTCCTCACACTAGAATCATATCCAAATGAATAAAAGCACCCACTACTGTTTGTGAAATGAAAATGAAAGATTGGAGTGGACACTATCCTCCGATATGAGTTCAGGCCAAATCCACCAGTTCATGTATCTCAGATATGGCTGCTTTCCTCTGCTTTGACATGCAGAACATTGCACAACATCCAGTCAGCTGCAGTCCTTTGGGGGAAAACACTTGATCAAAGAAAGAAACACCTGTTAGAAAGATGGAGTTGAGGAAGGGATGACCAAAGTGTTCAGGCGGAAAGGTGGGGAACCGTTAACGTGACAAAGAAAAGATAAAACACTCTGAAGTGAATTTGAGAACAACACAAACTCGTTGAACCTGGAGACAGATGAGCTGCGAGATTGATAGAACAAGTAGATTAAGTGTGAGTGGGTACTTAGTTATCACGTTAGCCAAAAACAAGTCAATCCTAACTGATAAAGTTGCCAATAAGTGTAGTAGACTGAAGCTGGTTATTGCTGATGGAATGCTCCAACAGAGCTGTAAGAAACATTTGGAGATTGTTGCCCAGAAACTGACATGCTGATCATGGATGAATCATGTCAATACTTTGTGGCATGTGAGCTGAGGCTGAGCTTCCCACAGGTCTTATATCCAACAGATGTGGAACTGTGGGATGCAGAGTTATGCGTTTGCTGTATATTGTCTGATCTGTACAAACGTGCGAATATTCATGTAATCAATTATGAGAGCAAGTGGTTGACAGAAACTATGGACGTTTACTCATGATGTGTCCTCATGTACTTTTTTAGATACATTCTACTTTTTTTTTACTTTACTGTATTTATTTGACAACTCTAGTTAATTCATGAATACATTATGTTTAATGTACCATTATAAGTTAAGATCAACTTTACTACCTAGCAATATACAGTTAAAAAACAACTACAACATTTAAGTGATGTACTAAATAGTGCATGAATTGCCGATAACATAATATTTGTTGTTCTTGAATGGGTTGTTTCATAGAATTAGTACTTGACTTTTGGTCCTTTAAGTATATTTTACTTAAGTACATTTTAAGTTAGAACTTCTGCACTGTGGTATTATTACGTTTACTGAAGTCCCCCTCGGATAATAGCACAATCCAATGGAGTTAAAAAAAAAACTTTAAAACTATTCTACCCCATACTATATCACCTTGTTATTATGTAGTGTATTTTTGAATTTGAAAAAAGGTCAATTTGTATTCCAAATGTTGTTGGAGCTCTCTTACCATGCATTGCATCACATCCAAATCCCCCTAATCCAGCCTGAGATATTTGGTATCTTTGGTAACTGTGGTATCAAAACTAGAAATTACAACAATATTCATGTCATTTGACATCCACATTTATGTAAAATTTGAAAGAAAAACATTTCAACTATTCACCTGTAAGCCACCCTCACAACTCAAACATTTCCGGCATGGATCCACAGACCCACCTCCTGACAGTGTGTCTCTGTCAGGGTCCATTTTAAAGCCTCAAGTAGATTCTTTATTGCATATACAAGAGTGTGAGCAGGCATACGTTGTATTGGCTAGAAACAGCCATGGGTGCTTTGAGTTTATATCTCAAGCACAGAAAGGAAATGAGTTCAAATTATGTTTTTGCCGCCTGTCACAATGTTCTCTCTCACTGCTTCTATACAGTTTATGTTGGCCGCTGCTGTGGTTCTCAACATCTGTGGAGTATAATTTACTGGTAAATATGTTTGGCCAGGCCTTTGTTTGTTTGTGTGTGTGTGTGTGTGTGTGTGTGTGTGTGTGTGTGTGTGTGTGTGTGTGTGTGTGTGTGTGTGTGTGTGTGTGTGTGTGTGTGTGTGTGTGTGTGTGTGTGTGTGTGTGTGTGTGTGTGTGTATTACAACATTATCCTGATAAGAACCCTTTTAACAACTTTCCACAAATCTCGATACATTTGTAAAAAATACATTCCTGCACGGCAGCATCTTGAATATTCAAACCAATTTTCTCTTCCATATCATATTTACATATATATTATATAGTTATCATAAAATGCACTCTTCTCATAGATTTCTTTACTTGAAATTCAAGCTGAATATATAAAAGTTGAAAATAAAGTACGATGAATATATTTAAAAGGGGGTGAGTTTATTCTAAGTTAGTCCATCAACATATTTAATTAGTAAATTATTGATATTTTAATAATAACAAAGTGAAAGGGGTTGCTTGAGTGATGAACCTACAGAGAATAATCATCTGAATCTGAAGCTACCCTCTGAAGCTTCATATTGAGTTTCAGCCTCTTCTTTAGTGGTCCAGTCCAAAACATTATTATTTTGGTTCACTTTCACTGCTCTTCCAACTTTGTTTCCAGCTGTAGCAGGCAGCTGTTTCAAGTGAAAAATAAAACCCCTGCACACAACCATCCCAGCACCAAACAACACACACATGAATTAAGCATCTAGTTGCTGAACAGAGTGGAGCATCTGGCAGCTACAGAACAAAACATTTCCCTCAGCAGTTGGTAGAGAACAAAAACAGAGCTAGACTTGGACTTCAATTTGTCCACATTTGTCCAAGGAATACTTATGTTGCTATTTAATGGCTGGATCCATAAATAAGCAACAGTCCACTGTGATACTAGGAACGTACCCATTAGACATAGAAGTGAACATCTGTATGAGAATCAGAATACCTTTATTAGTCCCACAGAGGGGAAATGTACATTGTTACAGCAGAAAAGAGCCAAAGACAGCTATGTAATAATGCCCAAAGTTGCATGAAAACAAATCAAGCGTAGATTGCTAAGTGTCA